CTCTAGTTGAGCCACTTGGCCTCTCTGTCACCTCTGTCACTTTGGCCAGACTAACAATGCTTGGCCTGTCTGGATGCGATAGCTACAACCCAACTTTAGCGTGGGCTTATCGAGCCTTAGGGAAACGCAGAGATTGATTGCGCGTGTAATGGGGCCAATTCTTCTATCGTCTTATTCTCCGGTACCTCTGCCCGTCCCAGAAGCATTGTCTGCGTCTTAGCGTTTGTGCGTATCTCGGTCTCTGAATTGTGTTGGCTAATTGCAACAACTTGATAGGTTGGCCCGACTGACGCGGCCTCTGACCCCGAGTGATAGACCAAGGGCAAAGACCTTGTTACTCTCGCACCGCCACCAATGGAGTGCACCGCGAATGTGAACCGAATGTGGGATTTTCCTCTTTTTCCCTCGTCCAGACGGTTGCATCGCAGCCCCCGATGTTGCCCTGCCCAGGTAGCCCGCCGACCTGGCCGGACTACCCACCCTCCGGCCGGCCAGTCTTTCTGAGCTGCTTCCAGTGCCTGGCCGCAGGCAGATGGCCGGCCATCGTTTGGACAGCGCAGGATGGCTACTGGATGGAGGCTGAAATTTGTCCCTTCTGTCGTCAAGCTTGCATTGAAGTGTAGGCACAGATTGATGGGTTGCTAGTCTACATCGAGGATAGCTGTACTCACTTGTGCATGTATTCATGTATGCATGTATGCGTCTGCTGCGAGTTGAGGAGTGATGTGTGAAACTGTGTGAGAGAGAGCGAGAGAACGGGATAAATGAGGGGACAGGCAAAGATCAGCTGGGCCGAATTTGGGTCAAAGTCCGATGTCCGCCCACGCAGACATTGTAGATTGTACCAGTCGGTAAGCCACATTTCCCAGACGAATGGGAAACCTGTTGATAGGTTTCTGTACCCTTAGCCCCCGCATAAGGATCATAGGTCTTCCCACGAACAAGTGAACAAAACAGAGCATAAACACACGTACACGCACTCAATGTGTACCACAGCATTGCTTCCCGATGTTCTGTGAGAGAGAATTGTCCATTTGTAGATGAGGCTGGATGAGACCGATAGACGCGCCTCTTCACCCACTTGTCGACATGTCGACGTGTGTGCGCTACTGCCTCGAATGTGCGGCTCGAGTTCCACTGTCTAAAAGGGCAGAAAGGCCATGTTGAATGGCCATCAAACTGTCTGAAGCTGCCAGGCTTTCGGTCCATAGGGGCACGGACTCTTGGCCTGACCAAATGACAGTTGGCCGTAGTCAGGGCGGGAAAATGAGGCAAGTGGTCGTGGGGTGAGTGTGGCGAATGTGGCCAGGGCTTGAACGAGGGAACAGCTCGGCTGTCCAGACCACAGACAAGACCTCGGACGCCAACGACCAGGAGGCACTTCTCTACTGGGGTGATGAGGTTAGATGCCATGTGAAGCGAGGTGAGACGAGGTGAGGCAAGACGAAACGGGACTAGACGAGACGAGACGAGACGAGATGAGATGAGATGAGACAAGACGAGACGAAACGAGACGAGAAGAGACGGGAAGAGGCGAGGCTGAAAGAGGTGGATAGCAAATGTAAGAGGTTGCAGAAATGAACGCTGGCAGTGGGAGTGGAGGGAGATTTATCGAGAGAGCGAGATAGCGAGAGAGAGAGAGAACAAGAGAGAGAGAGAGAGAGAGAGAG